TTTAATTATTATTATTTATTTTTTTTATTATATTTTTTACTGTAGCAACAGTAACCAGATATTTGGTGTAAACTGAATAAAATGAGCTTACACCTTGAGGTTTGTTGAAAGTATTCTGTTATTAGCTACAACGGTCATCAAAAAAGAAAAAGATTTTAAAAAGCTTACATATTTCTTTATTAAATATTTTAAATTAACATTTTATTATTTATTTATATATAATTAGTGTAAACTATGGTTACCATAGAAAATTATTTGGAAGTGAACTAGTCTTGCTGGACAGTAAAAAAAAATATTATTATTTTTTATATTATTTATTACATATTTTAAAATGTAACGATCAGCCTAACGGGCTGGGTTACAAAATAATTAATATTTTATTCGATTTTTTTTTACGGATTTTTACATGAATCTTATTATTAATAATAAGTAACTGTACCAAATAAAGCATTTGGTGAAAGCTGTGATTACCATGGTAAAACAGGGGGACTGGTTTTGCTGGTCAGTGAGGCTGATGACAGGTTTAGAGTCCCACAGACAGATGCAGACTCCGGGTCAAACTCAACCACACTAGTGCTCAGGGTCACTCAGAGGCTTTCTTTGAAATGTTTTTCTTATGATAAAAACATAAAGCGTTTCCCTACAGTTTCGGTGACCTTGCTAGCGTGGATCCAGACATTATTGCCGAGACGTGGAAATGTGCTGCTCTCTTGTTCAAACTGCAGGAATGTGTGTTTGAGCTCGGGCCAGCGGTCAGAACGAGTGGCGATTATTTTAGCTTGTCGCTAGGAAACATGACTATCTAGGGCCAGAGGAGATTCTGATCCTGCTGTTATTTTTAAAATCGCAGACAGATTTGAAATAGTGTAGGGAGAGAAAAATGAAGAAACAAAGAAAAAGAGGAGCGAGAGCGAGACGCTGCCAACACAAGCTCGATTTGGCAAACTAGACAGAATAACGCTCAGCAGTTCTCATAAAGACATTAGACACTTCTCAGCTGAAAGAAACATCACTAGGCTGACAATTAGAAGCACATCAGTTGTGTTTCGTTCTGCACAGGGTTGTTATAGTTAAAAATAAGTTTAATATAAAACTATTTCAATCATGACAACTCTCGGAACATTTTAGCATGGTGATGGATATTTTTTGTTAATTGAAATAAAGCTGAAATAAATATTACATGAAAAATGGAATTAAACTTTTACATCTTGGAAAGTTAAAGCACTAAAATGAACTAAAACTGGAAATAAATTAAAACTGATCTAAAACTAACCCTTAAATTAAAAAAAATCAATGAAACCTAAATAGTAATATAAAACATTTTTAAAAAGAGAGACGAACTAAACTTCAAATGAAAACTGAAAATATTCAAATTAAACAATTCAAAATATTAATAATGACTATTTACAATTTACAACCATTCATGA